CAGAAGTTGGTTTTCCTGCCAGATTTACAGGGTCACCAGAACTTCAGTGGTTCCTGGGTCGTGGTTCTAGTGTTTTTGTTGGTCTGTTCTTTGTTGTAGGCTTTAGTCTTTAAACCTTTTTTTTAAATGCATCAATACTCAAAAGATATATTTTTTAATACTATGATGCTGACACTATCCATGTTGCCTAGAAAATATCAAACTCCCCATCCATGAAAACCTGAGGCATTGTTGTTGTGATGGCCATTTTGATGGTGTTTATGTTTGGGTGTGTTTTGGGTGCTGGTTGGTCCACAAAAGGATGTGGTACATTTATGAGGTCGTGGTGGGTATTTAGGTAGGAACTTCTACCTAGTTCCTGCAACTTCTGTTGCTTAATGGGGTGGAGCACAGACGGTTTTGTGACCGCTCCGCTGCGCCACGCCACACCACGCTACGCAGACACCACCACAACTGAAGGAATTGTGAATGTGTATGCTTTAACTTGAATGGACTTTGTGAACTCAAACGGGTGAGCAAAATAAAGAAAACTAGGTGCACTATTGCTCGAAGTTCGGACATTGTTTTAATACAAAGCACAGCAGTAGTTGGTAGTGAGCGCGTCAGTTGTTTCGCCTTCAGTTGCCCCTCTAGGCAGCTTTCAGCACTGGGCTTTGCTGCTGTAGTTGTTCCCATTCAGCAGGTCAGTGGACACCAGTTGCTGAACCATGGCTACTGTCAGCTGTAGCAGCATTATTATTATCCTCCCTATTACTCAAACCGCAGGCAGGAATTAGCAAATTGCAGTTATGTCATATATCACAGTGGCTCAATAGGTGTATAATTACAGTGGGCGTGTGTTTGGATTCTATCTTTATTTATTGGTCAATTTACCTGTGCTGCAGTGTAATCAATAGCTCAGCTGGATGCCTGTATCGTCGTCTCTGCATTATTAGCAGCATTGTGTAGCTTGTAAGATTGTGATGACTGGATGCAGCCCTGCCTCACCTCATTACAGCTGATAATTTATCCCCTAATGCTCTCTTTTTCCCACCAAGCCGGTCGCCTCCCACATTCCTCCCCCCTCCACACTCAGCCCAAAACGGCTGTTAATGAGAAGGCAATGGCTGGTGTAAGGGATTGTGGGAGCGTGGGTCCGCCGAACAGTCAATTGACCTCAATTCCATGCGACCCTCGGTGCGGGGGTGCAGTGCGGGTGTTTGCTTCCATAACCTTGGCGCGCTCTGAGCCCCATCTCAATAAATCAAGAGCCAGTTAATGAGATTAGAGGGCTGCGCAGATCAATGAGGACAGCCTGCGCTTTACCATCCTCAACTCTCCTGTCCTGAACGACTCTCACAAACAGCCAAACTGATTTAAAGTAATGATTTTCTTCCCTTCTGTATGGATGTTAGAAGTTTCCCAGCCATGCACTGTGGCAGAGGGAGAGGTGGAGGCAGGAGGAGGCTCTCGGAGGGGCAACGTGAGGTGTGCAATCACAAGACGGCCCCAGACGGGGAGTTTGCTCAGCACCGCACTGTTTACCATTTGGACAGGCTTGCATAAGCAATGTAATCTAGTACCCTGGTGATGTATGTCCAAGCTGCCTGAGTGATGAGAAGGCGCTGCTCTGTAAAGTCCTCCCACCAGACATGTAGACACACAACAGATTGCTTTATTTGTCCGATAAACTTGGATGATCGGCAGCAGGTAATGAAGCAGGTAAATCTGTGCAGATGAGTGAAGGGGCTTAAAGGAACAAAGTGTGTTTCTGTGCTGTGTGAGGGGGGACAGGACTGAGCCTTAGTGCCTCTTTTTAGTGTTCCTTCTCCTTTTGTTGGGAAGACTCCCCCTTCAATCAGCAGCTCCCACCACAGCAACTCAAAGCTCAGCAGAGGCCCCACAGGCTCCACTCATCCATCCACCCGGTCCCTTCGATAACGATCACTGTCCAGCACTGCCAGCCAACAGATCAGCCCCGCAGGCCGCCGCTCCACACAGGGAGGACGACTACTTCAGAGGGCTTAGAGGGAAAAGTATGTGTGTGAGAGAGATGTTGCTGGTGGAAGTGGTGGCTGAGATTACATTAAAAAAAATACACTCAGTAATCATGGAGCGTCGACACCGCCTCAGGAGACACAGACTGCTTCAGAGATATGTTGGACTGGAATCAGAGGTGCTCCTGGCCTTCAGCATTTAGGTTTTCACTGATATGAGATTTTTAATTTCACTGCCAATAGTTGTGGATTCCAGATGTCCATTGTTGATATTATGATTGTATGTTTTGTGCTATAAATTAGAATATGTTCTGGTTCATCCAGCAGTTTAGTGATGCAGGGAGGAAAGTCCCCGTGTGCAGAGACCAGTGACACCGAACTGTGTGAGCTGCAGTCGCAGCCATGTAAGAAAATATATCAAAGTTTTGGCATATTGTCCAACCTAATCATTACGAAGGCACTCCGGTGGTTTAGGATTGCACTGCAATGAAGTCCAGAGGACTCACAGCAGAACATTTAAAAAGTGAATGGCTAAATGATACAGCAGAAATGTTCAGCTGATTGATTTAAACCACAAAATGATCTTCCATTTCCCATAATGCAACCAGCTATGCCTTTCAAACTTCATGAGTTTTTGATAGAAATTTGTATTCCCCGAGCAGTGCAGTTCAGCTTGATGAATTATCAGAGTGATTTTCTTGACAAAGCTCCTTAAGAGCCCTCAATGACGTTACACAACATGGTCCCAGGCTGAATGTTAGTGTTCAATGATGAGC